GGGGGGGGGGGGGGGGGGGGGGGGGGGGGGGGGGGGGGGGGGGGGGGGGGGGGGGGGGGGGGGGGGGCGGGGAATTAAGTGCAATTTTTTTGTGGGTATCGAGCTCGCAACGCGGGGGTTATTTGTCAAATGGGCGACAAGAACTAAATACAAACAGGGCACGCCGCCGCCTATGCACGCGGAAGGTACTCAAAACATAGGCATTTGAGCGCTTGGCCGCGTAGTGCCCGTGTTGCGTGCGTTTGGCCAATGTGTATCGTACGGCCTACGCTTCTACCGTGTCGGAAAGAAGCCAATACGGTTGAGCTTGCTTCCTTCTCGCCTCGTGCTTTCATTTTTCTCCCAACACTAAATACCACATGACTACGGGGCCGGTGCCTACAACCACCAATAAAAGGACAGGTTTGCTTTGACAGCCCTAACGTCCTTCGCCGCCCGCTTCCAGCACGATTGTCCATCGGGGCATTGCGTAGTGCCCGGACATGACCAACACATACTCCTGACACAGACGTCTCTCGTCTGAACTCGCCATGTCGGCTCGGCAACAACGACGAAGACCTCACTAAACAGCGGTCTAGGCAACCAGCGTGCCTGTGATTTTCCTGTGAACGCTCGGGGGGGGACAGCGGCAGCAGTTTAAATTATTCTAGCCTTTTGTTTTCTTCGCACCCCTTTTGCTTTGCCCGATATCTTCCGGGCAAACTTACATATGGTAGGTAGCAGATGGATGCTGTACCGATGAAATGAGGTCGAAGTATAACATCCCCGCTGCTGCAAGATACTCTTGAGAGCCGTGAGTAACACAACTAACCGCTGTGAGCCGTGTGCACGCATCGTCTTACGGCATTCACCGTAAAGGTATGACGACCACGGTGGTACATATGGCGTCAAGAATATGGTATGGAACAACACACCGAAGCCCCCCAAAAGATAAAGCCGTGGAACAAAATAACGTTGGAGCAATAGAGGGGGGGGGGAGGAGAACAACTAAAATACAGGCGCCAACGGATCCTCCTTGGGTTTTACATGGGATATCATAAGACCGTTGGAGAGCGAAGGTGCCCGAGGACACTGTTGCAGGGAAGCCTGGGGGGTTTGACACGTCGTTCGGGGCGTGTTCGTGTGTCTTCCAGCGTTTGAGATGAGTGGAAACTCTACTCAATAGTCCGTCCTGACGAGTGGTGGTTTGATTCCATAACAAAAGTACAACTTGTACTTTCCATTCTGCCGCACTGGGACTGCTGAAACACACGCACACCTCGGCGACTAGAAGTCTGTGGACGGAAAAAAGGCAGTTGTTGGAAACAAGGAGTACTTGGCGAAGTTCGCGGCTTACTGGATCGCGCCATGTACTCTCTTAGTGCTCGGTACAGGTGGGAGCAATGCAGCAAGGGACATGGCACGCCTCGCGTGCCTTATATCTTTCATCAGATGGAGCTATCGCGGGGGTTGTCGGATCATCTCCCGTGTACCAAGCTACATGTGTACATGGGCTCCCGCCTGGTGGCGTACGTGGTCGAAGGAAGGGTGTTTTTCAACCACGAAACCTTCTGGCGTCTGTACGCCCAACTTGTGTTCGACTAAATAACACGGGCTGCTGCGGAACGGAAGCTCCTGTTCGCTGTCGGGGTTCACACGCCACCCTTCCGTCCACAGGGACCACTGCTGAGGGAGTTGACGACAACCGCCTCCATCTCCTATTTCAGCAAAAGGTCGGGCGGGTTCTCGTGCTGGCTGCGCCAACTACCAACAAAAGGCTGCTGTGAACAAAACTGCTGCTGCAGACACCAATCAAAGTCCTGCACAGGCAACGAAGCACCAGGATGAAAACAACAACAACAGCATAACGCGCCCCCGCGGCTAGTGGTCGCCTAGACAAGATCCGTTGATTCTACGACTTGCGCCTTTTCAGCGCCGACTTCAACAATCTGTTGGGTGTTGGGGCGTTCGCGACTCTGTCCACACAGCAGTACCAGCTCCGAGCGCGACCCGCCCGAGCTTCTCTCGAGCGAAGTACGCAGCTAATCGTCCCTCGACGTCTGTGGACTCAACGCTCTCGCAACGGAAACATCACTCACCTTTGGGTGGTGGGGTTGAGGGAGGGGAGAGAGGCGGGACGCGGGGTAGGGTGGCGAGGACAGCTAGACCAGGAAAAGCCGAGGGCTACACCACCGGGGACAGGCTTCCGACACGCAGATCGGGGAAAACTGGGGTACGGGGAGGGCGGGGGGGTTACGGGGATACGATCGATCTCTCCGCTCTATGGACGAAACCGATGGCTATTTTTTTTTATTGCCGACAACAGCAGTACGATAGCGCTACACAAATACGAGAGGTGCGCTGTTGGCCTACTTTCCTCGTGCTGTGGGCAGGAAACGTGCGTGAAGAGGTGCCTTCTTCCATCATCACGGTCAGAGGGTAGAGCTTGTTTGAGCGCAAGGCAGGGAGAGAGGTTGTTGCATTGATCATGCAAGCGGACCAAGACTTCGAGGAAGACGATAGAGAGGAGCTGTCGGCGATGGCTTGGGAATCGGCGATACGAGGAAAAAGCGGCCGTGAGATCGCGCACCTCCACCAGAGCTGGGCGGCAGCGTTTCTCGCGCGTGGTTCCTTCAACAAAGCCCAGGTGGGGGACAAAATGCGTCGAACTACAGATGGCTCGGAGGGATTGCCATTCACAGATCGCTTGCGCTAACGTGTGCAACAGCAGACTTCTTGTGGTTTCTTGCTCATGTCGTCGTCCACATGGGCTTGGTACAACCCACAGATGAACACAGACGTCCTCGTCAGAGTTAGGTGGCCTTGCGCGCGCCTGCTTCGATTTACACCCACACTCCTTTGTCTTCCGGAACAACCAAATACAACACAACGCAACCCAGGAACACCTCGACCACGCTCTCGAAGCATGGACCGACTACGAAGAGCGCGGCCTCCAAGCCCGCGCATGGTGCCTAAAGGCGTCGTGTAGCGGCGAGGCCGGCGACTTCTCTGCCGCTGCGGCGAACTTGAAAACTGCCCTGAAGATCGCGGAGGACACGGGCGACGCCCCTTTGGTGTTATCCGTAATGATCAACCGCGCCATCTGCGAGATCCACCTCGGGGACTGCAAAGCCGCCGCAACTCGCTCTCGGCGCGCCTTCATTAGGGCCGAGGCGGAGGGTGGGCCTGAGACTGTCCTTTTGGCACACGGTATCCGGTGCGTAGGCGTCTCATGCCATAGGCTGGAGACACAGGTGGTGGGGTTTCTCTGGTGTTATCGATGTCGCTACTGCAAGTGCAACCTACCCAGGGGGAGGGGGGGATATCGGCACAGTCAACAGAGGTTTTGACCTTCTTCCTGCGTTCCTTTCGTCATGCGAAAGATCACAGATAGGCAGTAGAATAATCCGGAAGAAAAAATAAAATTTACCATGCAAGAGAAGGACCCGTGAACGGCCAGGTTTGGATCTCTTGTACCCTCGAGCTCGCTGTCGTGGACGTACCTGTTTTCCGTGGAACGCCGGGGAAAGTCGTACGCCGTGCAGCAGCACCGAAAGAGTTTTTTTGACAGGTTGATACAGCCCCGGGAAAAGCTACTGAGCATCATTGTCACGGCAGGGAGATTCCCGGGAAGTCGAGAAACAGTAACCATTCCATGCACATTTAAGCGCGCAACACCACCGTGACTTCGAAGGACGTATGCACTACGGGTACCAACGCTATTAGAGTCATATCGAGTACATCCGTTGGTTTGGAGAGTCGTTGTTGGGTGACTGCGGCACCTGCGAAAATTGGTGGTGGTACAATAGCAGATATTTATTGCTAGATGGATTATCCGGAAGCTTTCAAAGTTGACGCCGTTCACTTGGCTCAAGACCCGTCTGTACTGTAAGCCTAAGCTCGTGATATCGACCACGGTCACCAGATGCGTGTGGGGTGCGGTTTGCGATGAAAATTTTGGTCACTTTTCGCGGTTGTTGTTTTTGTAAAGTTATATGGTGATCTGAACGTAATTTTTTCCGGGCAGCACAGAAAACGGATCTCATCCCATGACGCAACCATACTCGCCGAACAACGGTTTTCCAGAGCTGTGGCCACCCAAGCCGACTGTAAACCAAGCGCTCTACCAGGGCTCCTGTATTCTACTTAAATCGAGTCAGAAATGGCGGGACTGCTGTCCCATACGCAACCGAGACCACGTGTTCTCGCTCAACTTGGAGAGGGTGTTGACTGCAACACCTACAGGCGCTCCTTTCAAATTCCCAGAGGAGGTAACAAACGTTTTGGACTCCAGCCTTGAGGCACGGCGGTATATGTTCGAACGCGGAGTGATCTACTCTACACACGCGGTCGACCGGTGGTGTTTCAGCGGAAGCAATAATATTAACTTGGTTTCGCGTCGATTTCCCGCATGAAGCGAAATTACGAGGAGCATTGTAGGCGCCAGGTGTACACACTCCGTCAGAAAGAGTTGACTAATCTTAGCTTCATGCTATGGCGCCGAAAGTTGTTGCGCGCACTACATATGTATGGGGTAGGTGTAGTAGGGTGGGCGGAAGTACGCATATCAACTTTGTGCTGGCATGAGCGTCATGCCGAGACTGACGTGGAATGCAAAATCATGGGCCGCACCTGCATTTACGGGAAGAACGGGAAGGGCTAAATTTCTGCTGGACAGCAGTAGAAATGTCTACCTGCACGATACACGAGCCCCGCCGCTCCCCATTGAAAAACCTCTTCCCGGAAATGCGGGCCGTACGTACACATCCGTTCATCCCCTATTTACATAACTTTCTCTCCTCAGGGCCGTGAGCTACCAAATGACGGGGAACTTTCTGGCAGCATGCAACGAGCACGAGGCCGCGGCGAAACTTGCCGAACAACGCCAGGTCCTGCCGTTAGCACCCGCTCTTGCATTGGGCATGGAAACCAATTTCGGCATAAGGTAATACGGCGTCATCCATGCGCCAGACCCAAAAATCCCGGTGCTGATGATACACCGTAAACGGCCCGAGATTTGGTGGGGATCGGAGAGATGGCATCACCGCCATACATGGGGGAGGGATAGGCTACAGTGCGGTAGTCCTCTTCACAAGACGAAACAATAGCAAGACACAGGCGCATGAACCGAACAGATCAACGACAAGGAGAGCATGTTCTCCCGTCGCTGTTCTGAGGTAGTTGCGGTGCGTCTACCGTCTTGGGGCAATTTCACGTGCACACAGCGCACGAGGGACACCTGAGCAGACACTGCTGTAGCTGCGTCAAGGGAGAAGTGTTCTTGAAGAGCGTGCGCACCGCATCATGATATATTTCTAAACCCATCGAATTTCGCACGTCGTTGTTCTTCTGTGTTCTATTGATGAATGCGAAACGAAACCAACAAAACCTACACATACGGCAAGTGACCTTGTAGTGCCCTTCGGAGCGGCAAACCGGGGCGAGCTTCGGAGCTGTTCGAGCGGGCGCTCGACACCGTACGAAGGGGCGAGGTGGCCGGAGGCTGCTACGGCGGCGACGGCGGCGGAAGCGATGACGAAGACGACGATGACGAAAATGACGACGACGACGGTGGTGGTGGTGGCGGGAGACCACCCCCGCCGCCGCTGACCCTGGCTCGCTGCCTGTTTCACGCCGGGGAGGCTAGGCGGCAGAACAGAGAGTTTCGTGCCGCCAACGCTTTTTTAGAGGAGGCGGGCGTTGTTGTTGCTGCGGCCATGGAGTCCTTTTCGGGTGAGCCCTTTTGCACCGGCCTGCCGGAATATTTGTCATGCACGGTGGCTTTTCGGTCGCTTGGTTGCAGTGGTGCTCGACACCAAGTATCGGTGCAAGAGCGGTGTTTGGTGCAGAGCGAACGCTGACAGTTGTAGGGGGGTGGGTGGGGGATGAACGGGATTCTTTCTTTGGGGCTGTTTGGGTTGCGGTTGGTAGTGCCACGGACAAACGGCACCGCTGCAGGGTTCACGAGGAAATTCTTTGACACTTCACGTAATCTTGCTGTTTTGCTCTCGAAAGCAATGCCATTCAGTGGCACCAAACAAGCATCTCGATCACCTTCCACTAGAACAACAGGGCTGTCCCCTTGTAGCAACAACAAACAGTGCAAATACAAGACACCTTACCTTGCACGCATTCCTGTGGTTCCTCTCGCGCGCGCGCGATTGCCCTTGTCGGTCTTGTCCTGTGCTCTCGCCGGTCTTCTTCGAAAAAAGCTGCCGAAGCCTCCGGGGTTGACAAGGCCAAGCGGTCGAAGTGGACCGCGCTCGCCATGGAAGTGGCCAACTCCCGCGGGCTCTGCTTGCTCGCGGAGGCGGCCCAAAGGTTCAGCGGCGAGTCGAGAGAGGCAACCACGGGCAGAGAGGACAACAAACCTTCCTCTGATGCCGCCGCCGCCGCCGCCGCTGCCGTGGGAACGACTCCCGGGGAGCGCGCCGGAAGCGTCTCGCAGACGGCGCCGGAAGCCGGGGGTCGGCGCCGGAGTAGCATGACGCAAGACGAGCAAGCCACGCGAACCGCTGCAGAGAAAGCGGCGGGCCTCATCGCGGCCGGGTGCAAGGCGGGAGACTTGGGTGCTCACCCGACGCAAAAGATGAACGGTGCCATGCTTGAGGGCCTAGCGTGGTCGCTCGCTGGGCAGGGAAGCGCCGAAGGGGCAAGTTTGCTGTTTCGGGGTTTTGTTGTGGGTAGGCGTGGCGAGATCGGAGAGCGTGTCCTAAAAGCGTTTTTTTTGCGAGCCCGCTCGAAAGTCTACGTGGCCCCGAGTTGCGGAGAGGGCCTCTTGGAATCTGTTGATCTGCGTGTGTTGGCCCTTGCCCCACGCGAGCACCCAGCGACTGTCAACGAAGTTGCGTTCCCGACGCTCCAACATCGCGTCGCTCTCACAACGGAAAGTGGGAACTATTTCGCGAATGTGCGCCAACCCCCACGTCACCCAGTCGCCTCTTTCCCACCCACTTCCCCTACGCCACACACATACAAGGAACACGCACCCTACGCGACCGCCATTTGAACCATGACCACCGATCGTCCCTGCGGTTTCGCGTCCGCTCCCTTCGCTTCCACCAACCAATGGGCGGCCGCGTGTGTCGCTGCTTTCGCGATGCAGGCTGCGGCGATGAAAAGAGCGGAGAGGGGCCTAGAGAAATTCCTCGATAGCGAGCACAGACGACCCTCGGTGGCGGCTTCGGCGGCCGGCGTCGCCAAGCGGTCGGCGAGCTCGGCGGACGACGTTCCCCTCTCGGCGCGAGCCCAGGAAGCCGTCGGCGTCAGCGTCCCCGCCGGCAGCGAGAACAGCGACCAGATTACGGCAGTGAGTCCGCAAAGGGCGGGACATCAACAACAACTATCCAAAATGAGCGTCACCCAGCGGCGGGGTCGCCGACAGATGGGGTCTCGGAACTAGTCAAATATGGCGCCGTAGAATAATCCAAAAAATCTCCTCTGTGCGAGAAAAACCCTCGTTGTTCACACGTACATCGGTCTCCTCGCGTGGTCCACTACTGTACTGCTGCAGCTCCAACTCGGCGTTCTGGGCACCCAAGGGCTGGTCGCGAGGGGAGGATTCGGGATGGGAGCCGCGTTCTCCACCAGCGCGGTGGCAATGGGCTCCGTCTCGGCGAAGGCACGGGCGGCGGTGGTGGGGGACGCGGCGGGCGCGCTGGCCGTTGTGGCGGCCGCCCGAACGGCTGCCAAGGCGGCGAACGCCGGGTGGGCGGAGGCTGGGTCGCTCGCCAAGAAGCAGCTGACGTACGCGACGAAGGCGAGTTGATCATGCCGGTACCGCTGACATGTTTCGCGAGCGACGGGGGGGGGGGGAGGCAGCCAAATATTGAGGTCAGGGGGGCCTCTCGGGAGGAAGCGCACAGGCTGTTGAAGTATACACGGTTGCCTTACTCGGTAGTACGTCGCGTATCGGTAAGTACTGCGGCTGGCGTGATCGTCTCTCGCCACCATGCACAGAGTCTCCCCACTCTCTTCTCTCTGTCTGTTTCTCTCTCTAACTCTCTCTCGCTCTCTCTCGTTGTCACTCTCTCTCGTGCGCTTCCCGTTCATCTCTTTGATTGATTGATGTCCACCCAAACTAACGGTGGATGTGCGTTCTCGGGGTGACGGTGGCGCGGCGGGCGGCAGACGGTGACGGATTCCGCACGGCAGCTCGCGTTGTCTCATGCTCACGCAGGGGCTGTTGACCTCATGTCAGGAAGGCCGGTACAAGCGGCGGAGCGCTTCGAACTCCAGCTTAAAGAGGCTCAAAACGTAAGAGAGAGGGCGAGGGGGACAGGGAGAGAGGGAGACAGGGAGAGAGGGAGAGCGAGAGAGGGAGATATTGGGAGGAAAAGAGAAGGAGAGAAGGGGAAAATGAGACAAGGAAAAAGACACGCAATGAGAGGCGGGGGGAGGGCGTGGAATCCGCACACACCTATGACCACGACCTACGAACATTCACATAAGAATATTCACATTTCCACCCCACGGGCCCTGATCACGAATTAGGAACTGATTCATAGTCGAAAGGCATGGACGGGTGGTCAAACGGCTAGATGGCAAACAAGTAATGAGCACCTTCACCTCATCTCTCTCCTCGTCAGATGGATTTTCCTGTTGCGCCAATGTTAGGTGTTGAATCCGCACGACCAAGTTAGTCTAACTAGGCAATCTCTTTGGAGATGAACAAGCAGGGACGCTAGCTCGTTGTTCCGTCACAAAAACTGTTTGCAGCCGGCGAGCGCTGCGAGGCTTCAGGCTGCCTGTTAGGTTCGCAAGAATCCAGTCAAGAATGCGCCCCGCTTCTCCGTGGTAGTGAGAGTAGACGAAGTTCCTCGAGAGAATTTTTTGCGAATCATTGCAGACAATGTGCGTCTTGTCTATATCTGTACATCCCCCTGCCGACAGCCGGCTTTACCTATGTATTAGCGAACCAGGTACGTACATGGAAACGACCGTATTGTGCGATTCTTGCACCCGACGACGAATGAGAAACAGAGAATCTGCGCGTTTAATCGGATTCTGTAAATCAACGTGGTACGCTACGGTGGTATTGGCACCACACCTGGTCAGGGTAGAGTGCGCACCGCCTTGCACGTTCGAACGCGGGCACTGAGCCTTCTGTAGAAGAGCCCCCTTGTACCCTTGCCTACAGCAGGTACAGTCCGTAGCATGCCGCCGTTTTATGGTATCTGGAGTGTGTGGCGCTTCCCTCCTGAATGTTGGCATTCGCTTCGTTGGCGGAGAGCGGGAATCAAGGGCGGAACGAGCACGATGTGCGATTCGTGCACACTGCTCTGGTGCGCTCTCGACGCCCACACGCCTTCTGGTCTACTCTACGAACAACGAAAAGCAAGCTCATATCAGACACACCCTCCCGCTCGCCCTCCCATTCATCACCCTGCACACCTACTACACCACGTATGCATCAGGCTGGTGACCCTATTCTGGAGGCCCTCGCAGAGCGCAATTTGGCCGATACAAGAGAGGTGGACGAGGACCTGCCTGGGGCACTGGCCCACCTCCGGCGCTGCCGGTCCCTGGCGCAAAGGAGCCGCAACTCCGCGCTCGACGCCGACGCCTGCCGGCGGCTATCTTGTGTATACGCGGAGATTGCCGGCCGAAGCGGCGGCGGTGGCCGCGGTAACGATGGGGGTGGGGTAGGGGGCGGATCGCCGGAGACAGAGAAGGATGATGATGATGGCGACGGTGGTGCTGACGGTGACGGCGGCACACAAGAGCGCAACCGTTCTGATAGTGGGTCTCCAGAGTCTGAGGTAAGCTTCGATTTATTCCAGCGAATGATGTTCGGACTACTGCTGTATACCGAAACGCAATCCATTTCTACCGCGCGTGACAAGCAGCGAAACGGGTTGGTTTCATGCACCTCCCCGTTCCACCCTGAAACTTTACTCTCTTCGCATGTTGAAACGCTGCCATTATCACGCACAGATCGTAATAGAGGAGCGCGAAGACAGCGATATCGAATTTTTGATCTCCACGGCGGCCGACAGAGCCCGCCTGTTTGCCGAGCGTTACGAAGCGGCCGTTTTCGGGTTGGAGTGGCCGGTCAGCAGCGGGAGCGGCGGCGAGGGGCTCGACGGCGACGACGGGGGAGGAAGCGAGGAACCGGGAGACAGACGAAGAAACGGCACCGACAGCGGCGGGGACCGCACCGCGGAGGAGGATGCGGCGGCCGTGCTTGTTGCTCCTGTCGCCTAACCCGAATCTACAATATGGTAAGCGGTGGGTGCCTTCGGAGCGAAGAGGCGAACGAGTCTACACGGTCTTGAGGGGTGTGATATGAGTTATTATTATGCAGGGGCAGCGAACACGAGTGGTGGCGACTGTTCTGAAAACCCATGTTTTGTGTGCTATGTACGACGATCTCCTTTGTGGTATTTGGTGTTGTGTGCCCGCGTGTCAACAGACATGTGTGAGTAACCCGTGGTGCCCGGAAGCACTGTACCACCAGCGGAAAGATCGCCCGATCAATAGAACCTCCGTATCAAGGCCGACACGACTTCGTGGGTAAATTTGTTGTGTGTTCGTGAGAAAATACATATAAAAATGTGTAGATCTCGACGATTGAGAGACAAGGGCTGCTACATGGTGGTTCTCTTCGTCGCCCAACACAAAACGCATACCACGTACCAATATCCTCTCCTTGCGAGACAGCACCAACCACCTCCAAAATTTCCGTGTTTCAATGGATAGAAGCGATCTTCTTGTTGTCCCGACCATCACAACAACAACAGGAAGGAATAACATCAACAAGGATCTTTCGCCGTGGTTGACAATTCGTACACTACCATCACCGACTATTTTTGTTTCCACTACTCCGTGAGAAGAAGAAGACGATGCATCGCCACTTCAAGAGAAAGTTGGCCTCGGACATTATGACTTGAGAGGCCGAGTACTGGTGGTGCTACGCCGAGAAGGTCGACCAGGCCGCTCCCCTGCCACACAGGAGCAACGGCTGGCGCTACCTGGACCAGCCGGAGGGAGAGACCTACAGGCGCCAGGCGGTCTTCGGGACGGGGTTCCGGCTTCGCCTGTCGTTCCTACATCTCTCCCCGGGGCCAGGATACCGACGATTCATCTCGCACCCTCTCGGCAGGGATCCCGACCTGCAGGACTGTCAAGAAGACTTGGGCGAGGGGCACGATGCGCTGGCGCAAGGGCATGGTACACCCGTCGTCGACGTCGAGGGCGACGACCACGGACAGCTGGTCGTCTCGGCCGCAGACGACACCTGGTCTTTTAGTGTACGAATTATGTGAATGTACCTTTTTTTGCGAGCTTGTTCACAATGCATCTACCGTATGTATGCGTTTCTTCTTTGCCGTGTGGCATTTTTGGATGAATCACGCTTGCTTGTACAACTTAAAGTCTAAACCCTACAAATAAACCCTGGGGTGCGTAAGTTGGCAATCCGACGTGTGTCGTCGTCTTTGCCAGTCCCAGACTCTCGATTGTTTTGATACAATGTTACTCAATGTGTAGACTAGGGCAGATTACTTTCGGGGCGAAGGTCAGCAGAGAAGCCGAACTGGTACAACAAGAGGTCATCCTTTCCAGCAGTCCGCGCCCGTTTCAGGAAAATTCGGCTACAACAGTTACTGTTGTTTTACCTCTTATATTCTTGGGAGAACGCGATCGATCATGCTCCTCCGCCTTCAAGAAAGCATCAACCATACAATTGTATGCAGCAAACGAAACGAAACTTTCTTATTTTTATGATGTGGCCACTGAATTTCACACTTCACCCGCGGCGAAGTAGAGAGAAACGCAGACACATGAAAAGTCAAAAAGGATGCTGGGGGTGTGTGTGTGTACTCATAGCCGTGCATGCCGTGGTCGTTAGACCATTGACCTCNTCACATCACCAAGCGCGAAGCGCCGTGAGATATTCGGCGAGTCGCATGAAGGGTGCGCTGCATCCTGCTAAGGGTTTTCGGCATCTTGTGCTTACTTCCTTGCGTACGGATGACAGCTGCGTATGACTTCATGTATTTTCTGGTGCTTTCACTTCCCGAGACAGTTGTAAGCACCGTGTAACTGCCTTGAGGGTGCTTCAACATTTTAACACAACGTGGTGCGATCATCCCCCTCGCGCGGAGTGAGGATTGTCCACTCTGCACAACATTATCTACTTGACCACCATTATGGTTTCCGCCAAAAAAACAAATAGGGGTAAAAAAAAAAAACGGTAACCTGGTTGCCGAGTTCACGAAGTGAATTGGCTTGTTTTACAACGTCGTCGCCAAGCGACGAAAACCCAATCCCGATGGCAAACACCGGGGGGGGGAGGGCTGCTGGGGTGGGCAAAAGCAAGACACAAGGCTCGCGTCTGGCACCGGTGTCGCTTCGGTTGAGAATCCCTTCACACGTCGAGGCCTGCGTCGCGCGAAGACACCGCCGCCATTTCGTGCGCGTAGCTTTCGCGAGCTGAGAGAAATCGAGCGGCTAAAAAAAACGCTGCCAGATTTCTCATTTTTTTCCCGCAGCAGAAACCAATCCTAGTTGAATTACCAAAACATGAACATATTAGGACCGTCACTAATGACACTTTCCTGTTGCAACAAAATACACGGGGATAGGATACACAAGCGGGCAAGTTTAATCGCTTCTTACCTTGCGCCTCGATGGAAAACTTAACCACAAAAACGCAAGTGCTCCGCCTGCATGTATATGAGCCTGGCACGACCATCATATGCCAGCGCATTCGACTACCTTACGAAAGAGGGACAACACAAGGGTACCAACTCGGCCAGGAAATGGAAAATGGACGATACTGATCGGCCACCAGATCGAATACAGCAGCGCGGCGACACACGTTACCAACTCCTACGCCGGGTAAGAGGAACGGACCCAATGGAACGTGAAAGGCCCCGTCCAAACCATTCACTACAACATATCACCCACGTCTCCAGCCAACTCTTTCTAACCCCCACCAACATTTAATCAGATCAATGACAACCACAGTACTTCTTGTGTCTCGTTTCCGCTCGTTTCCACGCAAGGCCAGCAGCCAAAATGATCGGAGCCCAACGGCAGCGCGTCGGCCAGCGAGCGGACAGACCAATCACCCATCACTCGAAAGCCGTGTCTCCTGCTCTGCACCTCTTTCGCTCCTTGTCGCCGCTGCTTCTGGTGCGCACTACCCAGCAGACACACGATATCGAGAATTCAACGAATATGTATATCTGCGTTTGAAGTGTGCCAGGGCAACACAGGTCGGACTGTCAAAAGCATGAGAGCACTTCAAGCATATCGCGCGCAATATCAAATAACTCCCCCCCCCTACTCCATCCTTTCAGGAAACAATGCAAGGCAGAAAAGAAGCACCAGCAAAACAAATGGGTTCCCGCCCCGCATCTGCCTCAGCCACCGCGATAACCAGCGCATCACACATCCACGTGACCCCCGGCAGGGAAATATACCCCCCCAACTCTCCATTTTCCACTCTCCATCTTCTACCCCCCCCACCTCAACACTTTTGTTGTAAACCTAGGAACTGCAAGTATGAGCTTGTGGTGTAACCGACCGTCTTGCCACACGAAACTAAAAACTAAGATCCAGATCACCACGGCAACGCCGGGACGCGCAAGACGAGCTACAGAGAAAAAAAAACAAAGCTTACTTTGTATCCTTGCTATGCGCACGAACAAGCGGTCGCGGGCGCGGCGTGCGAACGAAGCACGTACGTACGTAAAACGTGAAGAAGCCAACGTGCCACTTGCTGCAAACATGCATATGCCGTCGTAAACGCGATGAGACACGAGCTTTTGTATCCGTCTCCTAATTTATCCTACCGATAAGAGAGAAAAGTTTCGAACGGGCGAGGCGTGCGGAGGCGAAAAACGCGGAAACCGTCGTCGCCTGTGGCCGCCTCGTCACACAAAACAGTACTACCCCCCTCCCCCCTCTGCCCCCGTGTGGGCCATGTCATACTCTAGCATCTCCTTAGTGAACATGCCCAAGTACTGAGGTGGCAAATCCAAAAGATATCCAAGTACCATGGAATACGCAAGCACGCTCCCGTTCCAAGCGAAAAACGTCCCTCCCTGCTTCACTACTCTTACTGTACTTCGGCAGTATCGTATCGAGAAAACGAAACATCAAGTGCTCCCTCCCTCCATGCGGTGCAGCCAACCAACAGAACGTACGCGAACCGGACCGCAGCAGCGTTAAGTCGCGGGGCAGGAACGGCCGCCGTTTTTCCTTTTTTTCCAACCAAGAAAAACGGTGCGTGTGCGTCACTTTTCTCGGCCGTCAAACCCAGATCCCACCCGACGGGCGCTAACTTGCACCACACTACCAGGCAGGCCGATCCTTCATGCTTGCCCTCGAATGGGTGCACCTCCAGACTTGCCACGCAATTCAATCAAGCAGAGGTACGCCCCGCCACCGCTAAATGCCGCTTCGACCTTGGCGGAGCTGCCTCTGTTTCTACGCAATCGCCAACAGGTGGAATCATCTTCCAAACAAACGAAAAGAAGCATGCATCCGCCGATACAACGGCCGACTGGTTTCCCGAGCCAGCCTTCCGACAAGCAGCGGCGGCAGCAGCAGCAGCAGCAGGAGCAGCAATAGCAGAAGCAACAGCAGACGATGGTCAAGGCGTTCCCACACCCGGCTGCTGCACGACGACATTGAACTCCACAATGAGAGACGCGGAATCCCCCTTTGCCCCCCCCGCCCCCTTCCTTGTGTGATGGGTGTGGACCACACACGAACATGGATATAGAAGTATCACGTCAACACAACAGCACCCTGCAAAAACTCGACGGCCGATTAAGACCAACAAGGACACGATTAAAACCCGTTGCACGTTTTGCGTGCTGGATGCTGCGCTTACCAATGCAATCAACACGTGCACGGGGTGCTAGCCAACTCAAAACAAGAAAACACCTATCCTGCCTACAGCTATATCGCTTTGCAAAGGCGGCGCCAAGGTTTCAGAGCGCTGTTATATCCATGGAATAGCGTCCCTCCTCGAGCAAAAAAGAGATGGGGGCAGAGCTTGTCAATGCCCCTCCCCCCCTGCGCTTGCATTTTCTCTATGATTGTTCCCCCTCCCTTTGTTGTTGCATCGAAGAAAACAAAAAAAAGCATGGTACACGAAAACAAAAAAGGTGATGGAAAACAAGAACGAAACGCGCTGAAACAGCGACGAAAACAGAAGAAAAAAAAAAGAAAAACGAAGAAACAACCAAAGAGACCAGGGGGGCGCGGTGCCTCGCAGAATCATTCCAGTTGCTTCGACGCCAGACGACAGCAATACGCGCTAAGCGGTAAGAGACGGAGCAGTGTAGCATGGGCGAGACGAAAGTGGCGTGTCTCGAGAGCAGCAAACCCCATAATCCATCATGAGGCAATGCGCTCTCGGACTGCACACTCCTCTGGAAAAAGAAACACGAGCACACACACACACACACACACACACACACAACGCACGCAAGCACGCACGAAAAAACCACCCGCCAACAAATCGTCACCTTTCGCTACCTAGAGACACAACCAACCAAACCCCCCCCGAGGGCGACAGCAGGGCAGGGCCCGACGATAAAACGCAAACCACTCAGACGGGTGGGCAGCTGGCCCGAGCACCATCACACGCAAAACCCAGGGCGAAAGAGGACTCTCTCCTCTCCGCTCCTCTCGCAACGCAACGCACACTTTTTTTCTTTGTGGTGCCCTTTTCGTGAAAACCGGGAGTGGGGCAAGACTTCGTTAAAAAAAAAGAAATAAAAAAAAGAAAGAGACTCAAGGGGCGTCTCTTCTCCCCCCCCCAAACGACACTGGTACAAAATAGCTCGCCTCGCGGGACACCACAAGCAGAGAGCGCAAATCCTGCCACGTGGTATGTCACAAAACAGCAGACCAATCGAAAAAACGAGAACAAAAAACAAACAAAAGACCATGAACCGACAGGATACAACATGTTTCGTTCCCCGGCACCCTCGCCCCACATACACTCGCCCACCTCCCTTCTTTCCTGGTTTGGTACTACTGTTGTGGTGTTGTCGTGTGTGCTACTGTAACCCATGTAACCCATGCAAACCCGCCCGCCTTCCGGCACACGGCGCTCGAGGGTATTCTTTCTTGCTCTCCTTCCGTCCCCCTCTCCCCCGTCGTGTACCCCCCGAGATCAACAAGCAGCACATCAACACCACGACGGCGGCGGCAGCAGCAACATCAACAACATACGAGCAACGTCAACAACAACAACAAGCGACACGCGCGCCCAACAGCCCGATGCTCCCTCGGCGGAGCACCTCCTCCTCCTCCCCAAATCAAAGACACGAAAACGACAGCTCCGCTGTGCGGCGCATCAAGCTCCTGCTGTCGTAACGTCTCTCGCCAAAAGGAGCAACAGCAGCTCACAAACCAAAACAAAACATTCCGTGTATACAGCGGCCTCTGGGGACGCGACAAAACGGTCCACAGCCGACCGGGGTGTACGGGCCAACAAACATCGCTGAACCTCTTAGAACGACGACTACGCGCCCCTTGGCCCTTGCCCAACTTTGCCCTTCCCTTGCCATGACATCATTCGCCGTCGTCCGCTCTCTCGTCACTCCTGCGATCGCGTGCTCAACCTCTTCCGCACGGGCACTCACTCCCCCTTCCCCCTTGACTTATTCTTTTCTCGAGTATGTACAAAAAACCCTATTTAAACCCGGTCCCATCAACCCACATCTCGGGGGGGGCGGCTCTTCTGATACCGCTGCCGCTGCGGTTCTGCGTGTCGCCCGCCAAGGGAGACGATGATATACAATGAACGCCATCTGTGGGTCAGGCTTTTTTTGACGTGGCTCAGCCCGTCCAACTCCCGCTATCGCGTCTCGTTCTGCTCCCTTTCCCCGCCTGTGGCCCTCCCCTTCCTATCGAGAAAATACAGCAGTGATACGTCCGTCGGACCAACAACAGAAAAAATCTCCATCTCTCAAGCACCCCAACCACCAACACAGCACACGCTTCAACCAGGCGCCAAGGGTGCTTGCACAACAACACTCGCCGCGTCAACACAGCTAAAAACAAAACACACCATTCCTCCCCATTTTCGCCCTCCTTTCCCCCTCCGATGGCTGTCAACAACAACGCCCTCTGTTTTGCGTTGAGGTTCTCTCTACAAGTTGATGTCAACGTCGCCTCTTCCCCCTCCCTCACACCCCCCCCAACCACCCACACCCATACATACAGACCCATCGTAATACAGTACATGTCGTGTCGCGCTACAGTATTCTCCTTTCTTCCTTCACCGAACCCTACTTTCCAACATACTTTTAATTGTTCGGCGCTGTGCGCCGTGTGCCCCCCTCCCCCCTGCTTCCGTCGCGCGTTCGCCACGGGGTAGGCAGGTGCAGGTGGGTATGCGAGCACACAAGTCGTTGACACACACACTTAAAAAAAAAAAAAGCAAGATCGACCAGCGAGAAAACTTGACTGCTTCCTCTTATATCCGAGCGACAACTCACTCTACGCTTCGTTTACCTCACGGCAAATCAGTCGGCCGCGGTCGCGCCGCCCCCCCGACCTATCGCTCGGCGCTCGGCGCCCCGGCGCCATCCCCGCCGCCCCCGTCGTTGGCTGTCCCAAGGGCGGCGAGCCCCAGCCCCAGAGCGTCCATGTCGAGGAGGTCTGCCCGTGTGGGGTCCCTGCGCCCGCTTGCCGCGAGGGCGTCAACCGGTCCGACGGCGGGTGAAGGGTTCCGCGAAAGCTGCGTCAGTTTCCGCTGGAGCTGTCCGATCAAGACTTCCTGCGAGGGGGGGCAAAGAAGCAGTCAACCCGTGCAAGGTTAGGGGAGGGGGCGACGGTTAGCCGCGGAGGGGTAGGACGGCCCAACTTGGGGTCGAGAACGGCTCTCAAGAATCGTATTCGTACATGTTGTCGGGGGGGGCTGAGCAGCGGTGCGGAGAGAATAGAATAGAAAAAAGGGGCCGCCGTCTTCCAGCTGGGGGACAAAAGAGCAGAACACACACTGTTGAAGCTAACGAGACTTGAGTCGACGACCAAAATCTGCTACTACACAACAACTTTTGCAAAGACAAAATTCCTCCGCAAAACATGGAACCATCTTCCGCACCCAAGCCCTAGGCGCGCACGAGGGAGGAAGGGAGGGAAGGACACAGAAGGAACCAACGAGCAAACGGCGGACGAACCTGCTCCTCGACTTTTCGCGTCTTCGCTGCTAGCTCCTCCCGAAGGCCCGAGTCATTCGGGCGCCCGCTGCCGCCGCCGCCGCTTACGTCCCCGCTGCCGCTCCTACCCCCCCTCCTGTCAGCCCCGCCCGTGATCCCCCCCGGGCAGCCCTCGCACCCGCAGCGGCCGTCCATGTCGTCTAGCATCTCCAACATCTCCTCGGCGGACGGGCGCTCCTCCGGGACGGTGCGGCACAGGAGCTCCGCGAGCCGGGCGACGGCGGGGCTTCGCTTCACGAGGTGCGGCGGGGCGGACCCGCCGGGCTGCCGCATGGCCTGGAAGGCGTCGGCGCGCTCGTGCGTCGTCGTGAAGCAGCAGCAGAGCTCCAGCAGGACAAGCCCGAGGGAGAAGAGGTCGGACCGCAAGCCGTACCGCCGGCCCTGCAGCTGCTCGGGGGAGGCGTAGGACGCCGTTCCCACTCCGGTCGTGTGGCACTCGCTCTGCGGCGGGTTCCGCCTCCGAGGTACGATGGCCGCTTCCAACGGGTTCACCGCCGCTGTAGCGGTGGCGGTGGCGGGGTCGGCGGCACTGTTTCTGCTGCTGTTGCTGTCGTCGTCACTGGATAGACCTGCCGTGACCTCTGTCCGGGAGAGCCCGAAGTCTCCGATCTTGAGGCAGCCGTCTTCGCCAACGAAGATGTTCTCCGGCTTTTCGTTGAGGATGATGTTTTGTTTTGTGCGGGTGATGGGGGAGTTCGCCGGCGTAAGAGGTGAGACGCGGACGAATGATGCCGGAGGTTTGAACGAGAGCGGGGAAGGTTTGCCGGAAGATCTGAGGCTAGCCACAATACTCTGGTTGACATTGTTGTGACGACTTAGTTTCGAGACAACAGTGAACAAAATACACGAATAAATGACTTGTGGACCGGTGTTGCATGGACAGCGCGCCATCCTTGGCCCAACTGCAGCGACAACCACTAGAGAGCAGAACGTGAAACATCCAACTCCGACTGCTGCTGCTGCTGCCGTACACACACACGAACCGCACGCATGCGACAGGAGGCGTCGTGGCTCACCGCACCCACGGAAAACGCGGGCCACAGGGGGGAGATGAAGTCAATTCTTATCACATACACCCACCTTCAGGTCCCGGTGAATGATCCCCTTGGAGTGCACGTGCGAAACCCCTTCGGCGAGCTGCCGGAAGAGATGCAACGCCTCGTGCAGGTCCACGCGCGCCCCTACCCCGCGGGCGCCCCTGCCGTCGCACGACCCCGAGTCCGAGGAGACCGAGCGAGCCGGGGACCCACCGGCGATCGGCGTCTTCCGCCGACGTTGCTGCTCCCCGCCCTTCGCGGGAGCCGCCGTGCTGAAAGCCTCCTGCTTGGAACTCCCTTGGCCCTCGCACTTCCGGCTCGTCTCGCGAGTGGGAGGGGGGCACAGCACGCCCGCTCCGCCGCCGCTACTGCTGCTGCTGCTGGCGCCGGAGGACGAGCTTTCTGACGTCCGGTCTGACTCTCCGGAGGAAGCGGAAGTGACCGGATCCGTCCTCGGAGACGTCGCGGGAGTTCTAAGGTCGGCCTTGCGGCCGCCGTCGCCCTTGTCGAGGTCGTTCGAGATCAGGACCGCCGGGACCGAGCCCGTGTTGCCGCCGCCGAAGGCGGGCCGGGGGGGTGGAGACGGCGGCGTTCGCGAGGAAGCGCGAGCGTCGTCCTCGAACAGGACGCCGCTCCCCGCGCATTCCGAAGACAGTCGCGAGTTACGGTTCTGCAGCCAGTCCTGGAGCGTCTCGCTTGGGCAGAGCGTCATCTGGATGTATAGGGTGACCTTCAGGGGAACGTTGAAGCAACAACGAGGTGTCACACATACAGTTTGGGAGTCGGGGGAGAGGTTCAAAACTCGTTTCTTTTCATTCGTCGCTTGTTGTCGTGTCGAACAGCTGTTGCCTCAACATCGCCATGGCGGAAACGTCGAGAAACCCACGCAAGAATCAGATGTACGTACATTGCGATGGTTAAAGCGAGATAGGGTGCTTCACGAGAAATCTGCCACCCGTCCCGCACTGTTCTTTCCGGCACTAGCACCATGCACGGCTCAAACAGGTACATACGCGTCTACCATGGAATTTTCAATTTCGCACAACAATCCATCTCTCTCAGCGTTCATCTCCCACGCAAAGATACGCATCACACAAGCATATGGCTAACGGGGGGCGTGGCTAGCCAAGACACCCACCGGGTACTGGACGAGCCTGTCCGGTGACAAGCTGTGCCTAGCGATGCGACGCTCCGAGCCACGTCCGCGACCGCCGCCGCTGTCGAGACGGATCCCGCCACCACGGTCGCCGCCGCTGCTGCCGCCGCTGACCACGTCCCACTCGCGCCACCCGGCGTTGCTGCTGCCGCCACCATCGTCAGAAGAGTCCGCAAGGACGCCCTGGGCAGGGGCAACACTATCGTCGCCGTCACCGTCCGCGGGAGAGGAAGACTTCCCGAAGGACACGAGGTCATCCATATCTATGGACGGGTTACGGAACTGCTCAGACCGCAGCGTTCGCACGGGTGCATGGACCCGCCGGCGCACGGCGGCGGCGGCGGCGGCGGCGGCCGTGCTCCCGGCCCCTCCACCTTCACAAAACCGGGAAGGGGAAGCAGTGGCTGCCGTACCCCCTCCTCCGCCTCTTGACGGGTCCTCGTCGAACCCCGCGTACGAGGACGCTTCGCTCCACTTGCTCGTCTCGCTCTCCACATCCTCCGCCGACCACCGGCTGAAGCCCCGGTCGCGACCGCCGCCGACGGGAACGATGAGGTGCTTCGGAGAACGGACCTGAGGGGACATGGAACCGCGGCGGTCCCCTCGGCGGCTGCCCCAGAGCAGCCCGCCCCGCCCGCCGTAACCGCCCGCACAAGAATCAAAACCGGTACCAGCTGCTGCGCCTTGATTATGATGGCGCCCGCCGCGCGGCGGGCCCCTCGTCGTGGTGCCGAACTCCTCGTCGCCGTCGAAACCCCCGTCGTTCTCGGCACCCCAGCCCCACCCGGAGCCGGAGCCGGACGCCGAGTTTCCCGACCGCACCATGGTCTCCAGCCCCTTGATGAGCTGCGGCTGCATGTGGGCTGGCACTAGGGCGTCCATGCGATCGCGGAGGGAGACGTCCGCGCTCGCGCCCGCGCCTACCGCTCCCGCCGCCGCCGCCGCCGCCGCCGCAGCGGCGGCGGTGGTGGCCGCGATATTGGGGTCGCCACCGCCGCCGCCGTGAGGGTAGCCCATGCCCTTCTCCACCCAGCTGCTCTCCAGCCAGGAGGTGTGGTAGCGGACGACGTTCTTGTGGTCGAGCTGGGCCAGGCACTGTACCTCCCGCATCACGGCCTGCGCCCGGGGATTGGACATGCCGGTCCCGCGGAATACTACCTTCTTGATGGCGTACCTGTTATAGGACGCACGTGTTGAGAAGGGGGGGGCGGGCACAACACACCCGGAGGAGGAGCAAAGGAGCCGGCGGAGAAGAAAGGGCACGGAGAAATGAGTATAGTCATGGCTTATGGCAATATGTAACGATAGGTTACTTGTTTGAAGCGTTGAGCAAGTGGTGCCCCCTGTTTGCAAGAACCGCGGACAGAGGCTTTCTCCAACGACTACCCTGCCTTTTTTTCTCCTCCCTGGTTCTCACCTCGTGCCATCCAAGCGGTGGCGCGTGCGGTAGACGTCTCCGAACGAGCCCCTCGCGATCAAGCCCTCTTCGTCGAAATCCCGCAAGTACCTACATACAAACACGCGGTACCGTCGTACACGTGCAGCGCAATCGTATGGGGCGAGCAAACGAAAAAGGTGGAAAGTCAGACGGAATTTCAGCCAAGTGCCGGGACAAAGTGTGGCAAAGAGTGTTGTAGAATGTCACCTACCTGCTGTCTTGCAACCCTCAGCGTCAGCGAATCCTACTATTTACCACATTCAGGTGAGCCATCAACTGGAAGCCACAAAAATGTGAAGTAGTACACCACACAAGAGTATTATAGTACATGCAAGTGCTCGTGTTGTACATCCCTATCCGCTCGCGCGCTCGCACCTCGACGTGCCGAGCACCCGTAACCCTAGCGGCGTCGCCGACCGCCTGTCCCTGTCCACGCCATCGCCCCCACCGCTCGCCTCCGCCGCCGCCGCCGCCGCACGCGCCGGCGGCCCACTCGGCCACGCGCCCAACAGCAACGGCTCGCCCTGTTGGCCCCGGCGGTTAATCTGGCGCCGCACGGCCTCGACGACGGCGGCGCGATCGGGAGGCGTGCGGTACGACGGAAGGGCCACAGGGGGTACGAAGCCCAGGTCGAAGAGGAACTGGATGGAGTCCAGCACCTTCGCCTCGTACAGCACCAGCACCTTTGCGTGAATACGTAGGACAGAGCGACGCAACAATGAAAATGGCACCGGTATAATTTAAAGTAATCAGTACTGCTGTACCGTTCATTGATCTATGCATAGGTATGTGTGCGATGTGCTCGTCCCTCTTGTTACGCCACACGTTCAACGAAAGAGATGTGTGACATGTACCAAATTAATAAGTATCTGAAGGGTGTTTGGGTGGTTACGAAGCCCGAGGAAGCGCGGAAAGAGCGAGCAACCGCAGGAGATTGAACCTTCTCCGGCAACGGGCACGATTGAACAAATCGTTGAAGTCGCCTCTCGCAAACAACAACACTCATGATTACCACATTAAATTTAATCCAAAGCCTGCAACTACCCATTCCGTCTCAACAGGAAGGAAAACATCTATTTTGCTGCTACACCCATATCGCCGTGGCCCGCCTCTGATGCAGCAAGCACGTCGCACGTCAAGCTAGCTGCGCAACGCTCCTTGTTGCTGAGCAACTCAAAGCGGTTGATCACAAGGCACACGCCCTGACTGGTTTAACTGGGACCAGTTACCACAGCAGTAACAAAAAGCACAACTAAAGAACAAACCCTTTCGCGTCCAATATATCAAAACATGACGCCGCTGCTGCGGTTGCACAACCAACGAGCGAGCCCCAAGGTCTACCTGCTCAACGAACGTCCTGGGTGTGGCGTCATGCTCGGAGCACATGTGCGCGAGCAGCATGGTTAACAGAATCTGTCTCTCGGCGTCGAGGCGGACGCGCTCGACCCCGTCCGCCGTGCCGCCGTGATCCGCGCCGCTACTTGCAGCCGTAGCAGCGCCACGAGCGTGCCCCGCTGCTACAGAGCCGCTCGCTGCCGCTGCCGCCGCCGCCGCCGCTGCCGCCATCGCTGCTGATTTTCCTCCGCCTCCTGCACCCGCCGCTGTCGCTGAGGCCGAGCTGGCCCCGAGCTGCTGCCGCTCCAGCTTGCCCTGCCGCAGTAGGATTTCTTCGTCCACGGAGCGATCAGATAGATCCGATAGTTGACGCAAAAGAGGGACAAACCCTTGATGATGATACTGCTGCTGCTGCTGCCTTCCACGCCCTGCATGTCATTACAAGAGGATTAGAGCACACAACGCGCAACGGATATTTTTCATCGCCCGATCACGAGAAGCATCAGCGAGGAGATTGGAAGGGGGGGG